CGTTTGAAATATGTCAGTTGCCATTTTGACGCTAGATTACGAGTTATTTTACACATTAGACTTGCTACAAACTGAGCGCCGCGTTCACTCAAACGCTGATTCCATTCTAGTTCATTTAGAGCAAGTTCAGGTTGTTCGTTTTTACGACCCATGGTAACTCTAACGCGCCTATGTTGTAATCTCTGCAGACGATCAGAAAGTGTAATACTCCAAACTTCGCAGCAATAACAAAGTGCCGAATGAGACCTTTTAATTTTAGCAATTTTGCCAATATGTTTTTCGCACGAGATATTCCATACTTGTTTCATATCTATTTCTTTGCATTTGTATAGTTTTCTGTATATTTGTATTGTCACGTGATCGCTTTTACTCTTAGTATAAAAGCTCGACATGTAACTTCCCGACCAAAAAAACTTCCCGTTGCTTGTTGACCTTGCTTCAATATTTTATCGAGCCACGGAGATTCCACGCGAAGATGATCGGTCTGATCAATATTAAATCTATATAAATCGTGTTTTAAACAAACTGTACTAACTGTAGGGAGCTACCTTAAGAGAAATTTAGAGTTGCGCACGATATTGAAATCCAGTTTTCTTGATATGCGGTTTGGGGAAATGACACGTGATATACAAATTATAAACAATGGTTATCATTAAATTTCACCATGTGATATTCAAATTAGAAACAATGGAAATCGTCAGATTTTCCCTATCAGCAGATTAAATCAATAACTGAAAATGGAATTGTTTTCGTAAAACACAATGAATATCTGAAGTATTTGGTGACTTTCATGTAATGTGAGACATAATACATGACACAATAAATTTCTTAGCTAATCTGCATATCAAGAAAACCTAATGATCTCACCAAGTTGCTGCTGGTACGAGCAGAAAGATTAAATTTTTAGTTTGGACGATTCTTTTTATGAATTAACTAGAAAATACATGCATGCAGAAACCCTCGCATTGCTGACAAAACCGTTGTATTTTACGAACATGAAGTATCTAAAGTAGTTGTCATGGTAACACGATAATTTTTTAAGAATATTCTTAATACAAATGAAAAATCGCCTAAAAATATTACTTTTAATTACAAAATTATCAATTTCCCAACATATTTATGTTAGGTATGTAATTATACGTAATACAAGCTTCAATTTAAGGTAAAATTCAACCACAAACAATTCACAAAACGTTTTAAAGTGTTCTTTATAAAACTAAACAGCCTTTAAAGGTAGGTTACAGTCCCTTCTGCGCATGTCTGTGATTGTTTTTGCCTGGGGACTCCACCGGAAGTTGGGCATCTCGGTTTATACTCGGTCCAGTCTCATTTCTGGCAATAACACGCGCGTTGTTTTTTTCGCAAGCGAAGGAGTGAAGCAGCTTCACTGAAGCTAGAAGTTTCCAAAATATATTGAGCTTTTTTGAGCGAAAATCCTTCAAATAACGAGTTTTTGAGGCAACATGACGAGTAGGAAAGAATACCACGCTAGCAGGGATGCTTCCAAAGTGTAACAAAGTGTATCTATTTTATTGTTTTCCTCGATGGAGAGCGTGCCATTTCTGTCTGCGTTTCCCCATGATATACCTACTACATCCTCAAGCTTCTACTAAAGGTTTTGAAGAAAAGAATCCAGGAAGGATTGGACATTTCACCCAGCATACCTGCTATTCACTCCCTTAACTGTGGATACTTTAATGAAATCGCTTGTTGAAGCCCATCGATCGAGGTTTTAATGACTATAAAATTCTCTTTATTTACTATTTTAAATTTTAACTATACACTATTGTTACATACGAACTCTTCTATCTCTTTTATTTCCAAACTGAAACCCATATAATTAAGGCCTAAAGATATGATACTCGTGCATGAGTAGGAGTTGTCAATGAAAAGTGTTAATGAGCAATTTGGAGACAACATGTCTTGGATGGCTGTTTATATAGTGTTTATTGTCAGATTGATAAAAGATATAAATTAATCTACTTGACCGTGCTTTACTGTCTTTGACTGTCTTCTCATGGACAACTTGTGCTCACTTAATAGAAACACATAAAAAGTTTCTCTGATCAAAGTATATTTTAATCAAAGCAGCTTACAGCCCTCGAAAACGAGGTCGGCTTCGGCAATGCCGACCTTAATGCCGACCTATCAACCTCCCAGGCCGGCAAATTTTTGCCGACGTTAATTCGGCAAAAGTAAGAATTTTTTGGTGCTGATAGCTGTTAAAAAGTCAGCGATTATAAAATTTGATTCGTAGTTCGATTAACTAAACACACTTTGGTGTAAGGTTTAAAAATTAACGTTTAAAAATTAAACCGCCTAAGACATTTAGTTTATAAAATATTTTGATCACAGAAACTTATATGATGTAAACAAACTCAATTAATAATTACTAGTATATTTTTCACCCTAATTGTGACTAAAAGCTTGCATATAAAGAACCTACAATTTAAGAACCTGTCAGGCTAAATTTTTTTATTTAGACACCCTAAATAAGAATTTGTTTAGGCTAGCATTTCAGGTTCTTATTTTATCACATGAAGACAATTCAAATCTAAAAATGTATATATAAATCAAAGACAAAAAACTCTTCACAAAGTAATGAAAATTATCCAGAACACTGAAAATGTCATTGAGATAAATAAAGTGTTAGCAGCTTTACAGTATAGCTTTACACACGGCTATTAGTTAGATAATTTGTGCACAATTTATATACAGTATATATGTATATATATACATGTAAATTATACCTCACATACCAAAAATGAATCGCTTTTCTTTAAGAATTTAACCTAATTTCCAAGCTCTAATGATCATGTAGTCACTGTACATGTATTGTCCAAGGTGGGATCTGGGGGTTTGAAATCCGAGCTTTCTTTCTCCTAGATGGATTGCCTCCTACACAAAGCAATCTGAAACACAAGCCAGTTCATATTGTACTATGATTGCCTGATCTTGTGTCAGTACTTTCAGGGGGGCCAATAATTGTTTGTAAATTATTTGTATTAGCCTATCATATAACCCAATAAATCTGTTAAGAAAAAGAAAGACTGATTCGTTGATGTAAATAAAAATTTCATCAGTGTTTCCTGAGCATTCTGATGAGCTCTGATATAGAGCGAAACAAGCATATATTTAGCAATTGTCCTCTGTCTTGAAGAGACATGATGAACTAACGTGATCACTAGATTGACCAGAATTGTTTAAGTTAATATTACTATTAGATCATTCAGTGTCACAAGAATATCATCATTTAGTGTCAATATGAGAGTAATATCAATGAATTCATACTTCCAGTTCATAATTTCAAAACATACATGTATAACACAAAAAAGTTGAATATAATCTTAGCGTCTCGTACTCTCGTCACTGTCAATCTATTGAACTCTTTGTTGTTTATAACGAAATCATCTCCATAGCGCGCACGAGCTTGAACAAAAGCTGTTCAGTTATCCAGCGGTCAAGGGCCATTCCATTTAATGTCCACACCCCCCCCCCTACGGATGAGTTTTTCTGAAGGGTGACTCAAAAAGTCGTTTCTGAGGGGTTAAGCCTGCCGGCATCCTTTGATCTCTGCAATTTTTCTGAGTGGTAAGGGGAAAATTTACAAATTTCTGAGGGGGGTTTTGTGTCGGCACTTTGATCTTTTTTTCTTAGGGGTTAAAATTGTACTGACCTCATCCGTAGGGGGTGTGTGGATTTTAAATGGAATGGCCCCAAATATTTCGCCCTTGGCTTTGCCACGAAGGCAGTAGAACTGCAACCACATCCTCAATCACACTTGTTTCGAATTTCGTCAAGCGAAAAGCTTTCCCCAAGGCCAAGGCGCCAAGCGCTTCTGTCATAATGACAACAACAACACTGGCAACATGTTTCGAGGGATTGATACCGCATTAAATGTTTTCATGATGAGACACTCCAAAGGTAAACACAAATTATTCGAACTCACACCTTCGGGATTTCGGTTCGCCGCCCCAGCTGTTGATATAGCAAGTCAAACAACGTTCAAAGCGGCCTCTTTATAACTTTATTCACGATGTTTACAGTTACAGTATAAGATTGTGTTATTGTGTACAAAAATTTCCAGTGTAGAAATGTACAAGAAATGAAGCGAAGTATTGTTAAACATTGCACTCCTCGGTCACAAATTATGTGGAATGTTACTTTGAACCCGTGATATACTTCATCTTATATAATTAATGTGGATCAAAACAAAAAACGTAAACAAAGCCCGCGCATGCGCAGAAGGGACTGTAACCTACCTTTAACTATTAAATGGCTTTATCGATAAACTTTGAGTTTTGCAATAAAATGATTTCAAATTCTCGCTTGCAAATAACTTTGCTTTATTTTTATTTAAAAAATTCAATATAATAAAAAAGGGAATCAATATTAAAGATACACTGAAATTATATGCTGTCTTGTTTAGTTGTTTCATATACGCAAAGGCCGTCGGGTTTTAAAGCCATTATAAAATCAATATTTAAAACAAACTTACCTTCGTTAACGTCGGCTCCCTTCCTTTAGCTGATTCTTTCGCCCTTTCTTTCTTGAAATTTACAAAATCTTGCAGAAATACGAGCAAAAATGAAGAATATTTGCAAGAAATTTGTCAATCATCAACTCATCAAATCAAGAAATGTCAAATGTTTGCTATTTCGCTGTCGTCATGCAGCCGTTATAATGCAAACTTTAAATTGGACCAATCAGTGTCCGCTTTTAATGACAGTCCGCCATATTTTTGAGATCAGTGAGGATGACCACCCCATAGAGATTATAAATAACACTTATTTATAATCCGTGTTATTTATAATCTCTATGGACCACCCATCGTTGGTGACCGACGCCCGCGCTCATTGATGAACTTCAGACTTCCCTAATGCTTTCGTTTCTCCGGGTGTAAATAGCCGGGGGGAATTAGTACCCTCGCACGGCGCTTCGCGCCGCCGGCTCGGGGACAAGCTATAGGCGAGCATAAAAACAGTGACAATAAATCTAAACTCCATTCGAGTACCACTATGTTTACTTGGCCATGTACAACAGTTAAATGGTACATTATTATATATATATATATTCATTAAAAACATTAAAAAATTCATTTGTTGCCGTACATATACAATATTCTCATTTGTCTGCAGCAAACCTAAGCCAAACGACATTCAATATCCAGAGCACGTTATATAGCACGGATTGTACAGTAATTGTATTGTCAACTAACATTAAATTGTCAACTAACATTAACGAATTTATACGACATCCCATGCATCCATAAAAAATCTTCTCAGTGATGCGACTGATTAAAGATTGCTGCAAGTTGTGCTCATTGTGCTGCTTTGCGGGACGGGTGGGAGGCAGAAGCAGTGATTTTGATGAACTAGTAAAAATTGCTGATTGAATAATTACAAAAGTTTAAAGAGTCACAATATTAATTTATCACAATTCTATTAAACTACAGGACCTGACCCACAACATTTCAGTTCTTTTACTGATCAGTTATTGACTTTTCTTGAAAGTCACGTGACCTATCTCAATTCATTAAAAATCGATTCCGCCCATCTCGAAAAAGCGGGATAAAATGAGCACATCCTCAATATTTAGACAAGTAAAAGTAGAGCTCCTAGATTAAAAATAATTATTTCACATCTTCTCTGCTGCTGTGATTGTTAACAATTCACGATCATGTTGACACTCTCCCATAGAATGTTTCGATCAGGTCAGTGCTTCACTCTGGCTTGTCCTCCAGGATAACGCTAAATAGGAAAAAGAAACGTCTTTTAATAAAAAATGATTTAAGATAATTCAAATTTGAATAGTACTATATCTTTATAATTTAAATGTCTTTATGTATTTTATACCCCTTTTACCTTTATGCATTTTATATCTCTTTTATCTTTTAGTTTGTTTTAAGTTTGGACTTTTAATTATGTTTAAAAACATAATCAATGTCTCATTTTAATTCACTAATATCTATTTGACTATTATAAATTAACCAGTATTATTCAATTAGTGGATATTATTTATTTAGTTTTATTTTATGCTTACCACATCGTAAGGTTTATAATATTTATTTGTATCCATATATAGATGCAGCTTTCTTACTAAAATAACCAACAGTAGCAAAATATGTAAATCATAAAATCATAAAAAATAACATGGATGGGGTTTCAATCAGGCATTGCATATTTAACATATACATAGATGTAATGGTGCATAAAATATTTGGTATATATACTCACATCCTTAAGGACGATAATGTGCTGTTTGTACAGACACTACTCGTTTCATAATGACATCGCTTGTGACTAATCATGTGACAATCTAAATAATATCAAGAAAAACATTTTCGTTTAAAACGTTTGTTCCATCACCATACTATGCATGTTCTCAAAACGTTACGTTATATGAAACACGATTTTAATACAGAAATTTGGTATTCTTTGCTATTTGGTTGTAATGACCTTGTCTATTTTTTTTATAAAAAACAATATTTTTAGTGCAAATTATTATTTCTAAACACTGACACACACAGTAGGATTTAGGCAGTGGCTCGATTTTAATCCGTCGACTAAACTTAATTAACCTCTTTGTGTGCAGTTTCATTTTACTGAAAATGTTTTCAACCGATTTGGGTGTACCGATTTTTATCGGTAACACTAACCAATAGGTTAGAAATAAAAAGTAACACTCACACAGTAACACTCACGGTTTGACATGGTCTGGATTGTAGGCCTTATACACATCAATACAACCTTTCGGAAAGTACTCACTTTGGCTACAGAGCCTCGTTTTCGTGTATCTGGACCTCAGTTAAAGCTCACGTCTCAATCACATAAACGAGGTTCTATAGCCAAGGTGATGTACATTCCGGAAGGGTGTATTAGCCTAGTACCATAGTACTGCGTTTCAATAGTACTCTGTTTTCCCCCATTCAATGCAGGATTCCATTCCATGCATGGCACATGTGGATTCTCAAACTGGTACGTTAAACCATAGTTTCGCTTCCCCATTAAATAGGGCATTCTAATATTATTTTATTAGGTACTATTGCATGTATGGACTGGTTGCTAAGGGTGAGAAGCAATAGTAAATAAAATACCTCGACATTCATAGCCTTGTTTTCCGAAGTAGCCAGTCAGCGGTAACTTGCAAACATTGCAAGACGGTAAACTAAGAAGAACGTAGGAATAAATGAAATTCTTAAAACCAAATACCTGGATGGTACAAACACTACAAAAACGTAAAGAACTGAAAGCGGCATTTGTGTAGTTCCCAACGCTTGATTAGTTTAGTTGAGCGTGAAGTGTTCAACGTACAGTGTTCAGTAAACAGGAAAGTTACCCAACATAAGTAAATATATATCTGCCTTCGACCTGCAGTAGCAGCTTTAAGTCAACATCATTATTAGCATCGAAAGGTTTACAGTATTGCTATAGTTATACAAATTATGCAAACTTACGTCCCCGAGAAGTGGGTTGCGACGAAGAGATGGTCATTGCAAATATGCAGTTTAGTTCCTTTATGATCAAACGTTCCACGTTTGGCCATTAGTGGCGGAATTTGATAATACCTACAAACGTGTATAGCATTATATATTATTCCAGCTACAGATGTTAATAACTACTGTATAATACATACGGGACAAATACAAAGAAATTGAAACGTAAAGCAACTGGAGTCATTATAAATAGCGGATGACAGGAACATTGTTTCTAGGATTCTGGACGAGAAGAAGGAAGTAAAATTAATATCACAGTTCTAAGAAGCACAACAATTTATGAAATTCATGCATATACTACAACAGCTCTTCGTTCTGAACAATAGACCTTATGTATAATGACGTCACAAGGCTTGATGTCCGAGAGGAAGGCTGGTCTTAGTAGTCATCGTCCGGGAAAATTAAACAATTCAAAATGGCCATCGGGCATCAAGCCTTGTGACGTCATTATGTATAAAGTAATTACACTTGATGATATAGACTGAAAATAAACTAAATAAATATTTCAGAACTCACTTAATTTGCTCTCTTTCCCTCGCTTCCACTACCAATACAGATTTCGTCGAGTCGTACAGACTATTAAGAGAAACATCACTACCCGATTTTGCTAAACGAGAGAAAAGGTCCAACGTTCAGTTCCTATTCTTCCGTGACACTCAAAAAGAACGAAAGTTTAGAAATGATAGAGTTGCCCAGTATAAATGACTTCATTGTTTTGTTAAGTTTGGCATAATGAGATCACCTGCACAGTATGTCAGGGAAGCATACTACAACACTCTCTAAAAACAGTCTGGTTAAAATTCCTGGTTAACTCAGGTAATTTGACGACTCTACCATTCTAAACTTTTCTTTCTAGAAGTTCAGTAAGCGTTATAGATGTTACTATAGGAGAAAACCTGGGTTGATTTGAAATTCAGAGAACATTCTGTGCCAGTATAGGTAATGCAATAATAATAAGAATTCAAAACGTCGGATCGATAGAACGTCAAATTTCTCCTTGTATTTTTTAGGTAGTTGCATCCTTATTGATCCGTAATCCAGTCGCAGAGGTAATATTGTATGTGCACTGTGGCCCCAACACCCAGCCATATTAGCTGCTAGACTATATGATAATAGAGGAAAAGGAATAACATAATACACGTACTTATTGGCTGTACTCTTTCACCGCCACTGAACGAATGCCGTTTTTCTATTTCAGAACCTCTAGTTTCTTTAGCAACCGTTTCGACTTTCTCACTTGGTGTTTCATCGTTACGATTTATTCTCATACTGAACGCTTTACGAAACACTTTCCTTTTTGTATCAGGTGTTAAATCTTCCATTAAGTTCTCATCAAGTACAATTGATTTTGTGTCTTTGGTTTGACACAACGGAGCACCTTCAACTTTATCATTTGCTGGCTTAGCTGTTTCTGGCTTGTTTCCAGTTTCCTCAGGTTGCTCTGGAGAAGAATATGTGACAGGTATCTTTACAGGTGAGGTAGATGACGAAGCTTGCTGAGAAGGTGGTCTTCGAGTATTTTCTATTGGCTCGGTCTTTTTCTGACCTTTCACTGTTTTTGAGCACTCTCCAGGTGTAGTCCGCCTGTCCAGTTCTGAAATTGCACAAATCAATTTGTTTTATCCTGATATGGAAATCTCTATACAGTGAAAGGAGGGTACGAATAGAGTAAAATGAATACAGAAATGTGCTTGTATTTCTCCCTACCAGCTGAAGAAATATCTCTATTATAGCTTATAAGCGATGAAACACTACTTCGGGGATGACATATCGCAAGATAAATGTAATTGTTTCCCCCACGAACTTTACTCTCACCAAATTAACATCTTTGCGCTCCTTTTCACTTATCAGACTACAAACTTGGTGGATCATGTACGACGTCGCCTTTATCATGCCTCCTCACATACCAGAAATAGAATACTAGTCTATCTCCTAATAGAAAAGTGTCCTGGGTCGCGTTTGCAAATCGCATGGTGGGATAAAATGTTATAGGGAACTTACCTATTAATTCCTGAAGCATTTCGTGATGTCTTTGATTTTCTTGAATCAATACTGGATCACTTTCATATCCGCCGTACGTTGACCGTTCTGCGATTTTTTGTTCAGCTACGACAATATCCTCACGATCTACCCCATGATCCACAACTGGTACAAACTCCAGACGATCATCGTCATCATCAATGATATCTAACGTTGCCATACTAAACACAAGTCTTTGTGGAGAACTGGGGCGAACGTCTTCAACTACTACATATATTAATAAATGCAAACAATTATATGAAAAATAGGATAGATAACTAACATTCATTCTTTCAATTTCCGTCGTTAAAAGAGTATTAGATTAGATTCATGGACGGTAGAATTATAAAAGGTAATAGGGGCAGATCGTCATAAAGCACTCTCTATTGGTTATTAAATTTGTAGCCAACAGAGACTGACGCCGGTGTAACGATTAGCTATGAAGTTGGAAGAACACACTGCAATAAATAGTGAAATTACAGTGTTTCCATACCAAAGCCATAATATGGAAATGCCAATTAGCAAGGAATTGGATTTCCAAATTACTTCCAATTTCCATATTTCTATAGTTAGAATTTTGAAAAAGTTCCAGTAACACCTTTTTGACCTCTTTGTACAAGGAGTTTTTCATCTCGGCGTGATTACCCTAAACTGGAAGTTACAAATTATAAATCTAAATTAGCCGCTTCACTGACCTTTTGACTTTTGTTGAACTGCCTTTGGTTTCTCGTCTGCAGTAACATCTATAGACAGATGAATAAGGAATTATTATCATTGTTGCAAGAAATTTATACCTTCCAGCACTATTACAGCCCGACGAATCTCTTTCTCCGGTCAAGCCTGCAATCAAACTACAGATCTGGAGTCTCACTTCATCAAAATAACGTCATTGATACTAAATGATGCTCCATCATTCTTCACTGTTCGTTGGAGAACATTGTATTTCCCAGGTTTCGTCAGCAAAAGTCCTTGGTCTTATTTTCTCGTCTGATCTTCATTGGAACTTGCATATTGAATACATCGTAGCAAAAGCATCAAAGAGACTATACTTTCTCCGAGTACTTAAACAATTCTCTAATTCAAGTATTTTTTACATGTATACGGCCTATCCTTGAATACGCATGCCAGGTTTGGAACTATGGTGCTCCAGATTATTTAAAAGAAGAAGTTGAACGAATTCAAAAACATGCCTTACGAATAATACATCCAGATCTATCGTACCGGGAAGTTATGAAACTTAATGGCATTCAATCACTTAGTCAAAGAAGAAATGATCTACGTATGTCATATTTCAAAAAACTTCTTCACCCCAAACACAAGTTGCACGAACTCTAGAGGCGCCGGAATATCGATAATTGGGGAGCAGATATTCATATATTTTCTGTTCTGCCCAATTAATTTCTTTTGAAATCGATTGTTTTTACAGTCTGTGAACACGAATATATGAATATCTGCCCCCGCAATTATCGATATTCCGGCGCCTCTGACGAACTCGTTCCTGATAGACGTGAGAACTTAGTCAATTATAGTCTTCGTAATGATAACGATGTCAATTTAATTGAATATAAAACTAATAGATTTCAAAATTCATTTTTACCTTCAAGTATTTTAGCTTAAATGACTCATTATCTTAATATTTAGACGTTTTAGCGATACTTAAAATTTGCATGGTAGTAACATATGGTATTACGTAGTTTTAAAATTTTTCAGGTAGTATATGTTATTAAGAGTTCTTTTTACTACGTTCTGAAATATTGCATGTAATTAATTCTGTATATTTCAGCTTTTAGCTGCATGCTACTCAGCTGATTAACATTTCATTAAAATTAAAATTCAAAATTTTATAGCAAGTACAGCACAAACACCAAAACATATGTTCAAAGAGGAAGGGGTGTGGAGGGGGTGTGGAAGGGGTGTTGAGGGGGTGCGGGCAGAATCTCACCAACCGTAATATGTTGGTTTAGTATAAGATTATCAATTTAATAGTCAAGGTGATACGTATTTTTAAAACAATTTGGAAGAAAATCTTGATCAATACATTTTTAGTTGCACTAATTCCTACATTTTTTATGACTAACATTTGGTATGGTTTTTTTAATGCATATTACAACAAGTACTTTCTTCTAAATATATTAGGTACCCTTCTGAGAAAGGGCAGCCGCCTCTCGTTCTCCCCACCCCCTTTTCGGATGTCAATTAATAGTTCAATTCAAAAGATAACCAAAAAGCGCTATTATAAATAAATAGATAAAGGTACGTACTTATGACTGGTTAAGGAATGCATCAGCGGGTGGAAATATTACAATGTAAACATGAAGCTTACTTGAAGGTGCTGAAGATGTTTCCTCTGTTGATGTCTTAAACGCTTTTCCATCCTTGTCGTACGTAAACTATGAAGAGAAATGAAATGTTTTGAATACTAATTGTTTCGGTGGGATTAAGTATGCACTGGGAGCCCCGCACTTGTTCAATGATTGCGCAATTATTGTTCCGCCTTTGCTTTATGATGCTTTCTACAAGAAGCAATGGACCCATTGGCGAACGCTTCGCGAAATATTGGGGTGGGAGGTGGGGATGCCAACATAAGACCACCGTTTGTAGCTGCAAATCTCAGTGCAAACTTATTTTACAGCTTTCTTAGACAGTTATATTCAGCTATCATTCTACGGCTTTCAGAAATTATACGGAGGAGGCAGTTTCCCCTTGGTCTCTTCTAGTGTCTGCCACTGATTGGACCACAGAAATCTCTCCCCCATCCGCGAAAAGCTTCTTGTGGCCAGCAATCTTGAGTTTTAGATTTCAAGTCCCCACAATTTGATCAAGTCTGTGGCAAAGCCGAGGACTGTATCAAAATGCGAGGACTTGAAAAGTGAGATGAATTCATTTTGATCCAGTGCAAGGACTGAATTAATTTTGATCAATATACTTCACCAGGTATCCAGTATTACCATGTGAGCAAAATAAAGCATTATGGCTGGCTAATTTACTTATGCTTTATTAATTAATGCTTTGAGGTGCTCTAAAAACAGCCTGGTAAAAATTTCCTGGTTAATGTAAACTTAACATTGTTTGGGGTAACTTAATGTTCCTGGTTAAATTTCCTGGTTAATTTAACCATAGTCTTGGTTAATATGATCACTATCGTCACAGAATATGGTAGACAGAAGGCCGACTTTTTGGTTTTTCCTATGATTTTCCAATGATTTTGGCGTAACCGTAATTCGTCATCAAAATGCTGACGCCATGGTCCTAGCCAGTGCGCGTTTGAGAGGCATTCACCCCCCCTGATAATATTCAAAATGGCGGACGTCCAGGGAGGAATGCCTCTCAAACGCGCACTGGCTAGGACCATGGTGTCAGCATTTTGATGATGAATCGTGGCGTGGCAGCGGTTACTCGAGTCGACCTTCTGTATGCCTTATTCTGTGCTATCATGGCTAATTTAACCATGATTTCTTGTTAATTTAACCAGGCTATATTGTTAAGTTAACCAGATTATGCAACCATATTGCTTTATTTTACTCACATGGTAATACTGGTTACCTGGTGAAGTATATTGATCCAGTCCTAGGACTATTAACCAATAATTCGTGGTTAATATATATTCCACCTAACATGATCTGGTTAATTCAATACTTCATAGTTTAAAAATTAGTCACAATAATTATATAGTGATCATATTAACCATAGGCCGTTTGCTGCGTCCTGATATCGTTCACTTTCATTAAGCATGTCTTGGAACTGAAATATTTTTACGGGAACTAACACTTTCAAGCACGCTGAGTTCGAATCCGAAAACTTCCCGCGCCGTAAACCCGCAGTTTTCTCACAAAATGCTATTTTATCTTCGCTAATTTCACAACAAATTTTTTCATTGTTCAACGACACGGATCGATGACGCCACACGATTATATCACTCAAAACGACCAATTTCTATTAACCAGTCTTCCTTTTCACAAAAGACCGGTTTTGCCCGAATTATTTTGAGTTATGTAATCTTATGCGTGTTGCACGTAAACAACATATCTTGTCTACAACTTTGAGAAGGTACAGATAACGCCTTCTAAAATCCTCAGTTCTAGCGATATCTCTGTAAAATCACAAGGACGTTAATGCTAAGTCTTTTGGCTATATCACTGGCCTGAAAAATAACTAATTTAACGCGATCAAGGTATTTAAAACAAAAGTAATGCGAAGCCAACGTAACGGCAAAGACAACGCTAAAGTGAAATATTGTCGATTGGTTGCTAGTAGAAGACTTACGACAGGATGAATCTTAAATAACCTTAAACTAGGGGAATAAATGTTCATATCAAAGACAAAGACCAGTGCCAAGGTATAAAATCTGCTCTGTAAACTTACGACGAAGTGGAGAAATGTGTACATAAGCTGTTTATTTGGTGATTTCAACGTATTTGGCAGCCCTCTTTCCAATAATATTCGCTTATCGCACAGAATAACACCAACTGATATAATAGTTCAAATGCAATGATAAGTTACCTCTTGAATTACATCTCAGAAACTGTGTTGGAAATGGAGATGCTGACCCATTCCATAAGATTACCGTTTTACATCGTTGTATAAAACATTTTGATCGCATGTAAGGAAATATTTCTCATCCCAGAGATATAGCCCAACGACTTAACATTGACGTCCTTGTGATTTTATAGGGATACAGCCAGAACTGAGGATTTTACAAAGTGATATCGGTACCTTCCCAAAGTTGTAGACAAGATATGTTGTTTACGTCCAACACGCTTAAAATTACATAACTCAAAATAATTCGAGCAAAACCGGTCTTTTGTTCAATGTAGAGACTGGTTCATAGGAATTAGTCATTTTGAGTTATGCAATCGTGTGTCTTCATCCATCCGTGTCGTTGAACAATGAAAAAATTTGTTGTGAAATTAGCGAGGATAAAATAGCAGTTTGTGAGAAAACTGCGGGTCTACGGTGCGGGAAGTTTTCGGATTTGAACTCAGTGTGTTCGAAAGTGTTAGTTCCCATAAAAATATTTCAGTTCCAGGACATGCTTAATGAAAATCGTTTTCTAGGCACTTTTCGAGGTCACAGCAAACGGCCCAGTTCTAAGTCCGAGTCAAATCCGAGCCGGAGTCAAATGTCCAAGTCACTAGCTGTTTAGCGGTCTAATAATCATTCTTTTTCAACAAATAATTTGCTAATAATCATTCTTTTTCAAAAATCATGCAGACCATCATTTAAATAATATACCTTTAAAATACTGCCAATTGATTAATTTTAAGCGGCTACATTATCCATGACAAACTGCAAAGAATGAAGATATTACTCATACTTTCCTGCAACTTATCCAATATATAGTTAATTAAATACGCCTTCGCCCATTTAGTGCTACTAAATTGTAAATTTCGACATACTAAAATGCTGTTTTCTGACCATCAGAATTCTGTCAAAGTCTTCTTCAAAGTCCAGGAAATGGCATTTCAGAGACTCTAAATTTAAAAATTTCCTCGGGCCTTTGGCCCTCGCTTTCAGCTCCCCAATCAAGGGGAGCTTCCTACGGCACTGTAACTCTAACCCTAACCCTATACTCCTAACCGATTTTACTCGTCAATGGGGAAGCTCTGCTAGGCATGCATGTCCCGATTGTGTTCGGCAACTTTTGAGTATCTTTTTTCGGCTCGAGCAACTTCAAGCAACTTTTTCCTTTTTGAGCGACTTTTTACCACACTCTTAGTAGCGAAAAATGGTATGACGCCCAGCTTTAGCCTCTTCGGCGCTCTGCAGCTTAATTAATGGGTTAACCAAAAAATCTGACAATGTCTCTAGTTAACCCATTGCGCCCCAGTGCACTCTAGCTACTTATATTTTACTTGTTTAACGCCAAACGATTTTACTCGTCAACAGGAAAGCTCTACAGCTTAACGGGTTAAATAGGCATGCATATTAATTGTCGAAAGCACAAGTAAATGAAAGATCTGATGCCATTTATTACAAGTTTAAAGAGCTCATTTCTATACAGTATTGTACATGAGGGGGAGGGGTACTATTTTTTTAGAATTTATGTGAAGGGGGTCATTGAATTTTTTGTGATGCAGGACATTTTGTTTAGTTGTTAATTGAATTTTCCAGCCCACCCCCGGTCATAAATAATGAAAGGTCCTTTAGTCTAGTCACTGATCTGAAAAATAACCAATTTTGAAGCCGGAATATTAATAATGAGATGAGATTTTAAAATCTGTCAAAATCCCTACCGATCGTATCGCGTCCTGTTTAAAATAGTTGCAATATCAAGCAAATGTCTTTTCCCATGTATAATTTGAAAGATATGGCTTCCCACATTTCTTCTAATAAGTTTTAGAACGTTTCAATTTTCAAACACTAGATAATGAAACTTTTGGGCTGTGCATGACAGCCATCTTGGTGTGACCTCATTAGGGAGTGGTCATAATTTAGCAGGAGGGGTGGGGAGGTGGAAACAGTGGGGGGGGGTCACATATTTTTTAGCCAGGAAAAAGGGGGGTTCATAAAATATTAGACAGTTTATGAAGGCGGGGAAGGGGTCTGCTGTTTTAGTTCAATTAATTGTTTTATACATGCCTTCTCACATTTTGTTTGAGTTGCATTGAAAAAAAATGATTCTTTACACTTATAATGAAAAGTTTGAAAAAACTAAAGTTTTATATATGACTATGTATTGGTATAATATAAATTTTAGTATTTAATTTAAAGCGCAACTACAAAATTAGAAAACTTAAGTGCAATTAGAAAATTTATTGAATGCAGGGTTTAGTAGTAGGTAGGCCACATTTTGCTGACACGAGCAAGAGAGAGGCGGGGGGCATTATTTTTCCGGGTTATGGCAAAGCAGGGTCACAAAATATCATTCCTTAAAATTTTGAATTACACCTCCCCCCTGATAAATTATAACCAGTCCCTTAGTTATTCACGGGCAAATTTAAGGGAAAAGAGAGACTACTGTTAATACATTTCTATTCGGGTAATGTTTATCCTTTCCCACCGATAACCTGAAACTGTTGGAACCTCTTCTATCATGTCACCAACACCATAGTAGATTTGCGGTGGTCACACCAATATGACTTCATTTATGCACAGCGTATGCTCCATCCAGTCCTTCAGATCAGTGAGTCTAGTACGTTTTCAGATCAGTGAGTCTATAGTACGTAGACGCCATGAGAAGACAGTCGTTATATCTTACAAAACAGTTTCAATTTCTTTTTCTCCTGTCTGCGTCATTGTTTCCAATGCGGTAGTTCATAGATTTGCCGTTTGTATAACAAATAATGGAATTGTAAAATGTAAGATTGTATCCAGGGGCGTAGGAACCGGGGGGGGGGGGGCCTTTTTTG